TTTTCGCTTACTTCAGTCCTGCCTTAGTTAGTCCTTCGATAGTCTAGCCTATCCATGGACTGACGATAAATGAACTGAAGCTATATTATTCGGACATTTTTTCGAAATGCTTGGAATTTAGTATCCAGACTGAGGAAATTAAATCGCCTTCAGGCGACATTCATAGTAGGATCTTATATTTAATCGCCTTAAATTTATCTTCGGATACTTTGTAGTCAATGAAATGCAATTTTCAGGGAACTCGTCAAAGCGCGGCTTTTGAGATCTATGCTTATATCTTGAGACTTTTTTTTTTTAATCTGTGGCAGTAAAATCATGCCCTCAATGAATACACCAAATAAAATAAAATAAAGCGAAAAAAGGCTAATTAGAGGCCATGGAGAGGAAAAAAGTTTCCTGACGGATTCGCTATTAAAAGAGAAAGAACATCGAGAAAGGATGTAGGGGGGCGAACACGAATAAAATCAAACAAGAATATCGAAAGGAAATTCTTGATAAAATTTATAGCTCCAAATTTAAATACAAGACACTAAATCATAAAAAAAGTGTCTCCGAAGACAAAGGTCGTTAGCCTCTTCCTATGTTATATTGTTCGAGCTAAAACCGAGCTCGTTTGTGTCTCCGAATGGCACCCTGAGGGTTTTGAAGGTTCATGATAAAACTCCTTCTCTCTCTCTCTCTCTCTCTCTCTCTCTCTCTCTCTCTCTCTCTCTCTCTCTATCCCTCTCTCGCTCTTCCCGATCGTCATTCGAGAATGAAGCGACGGCAGAACGTGACGCTCGCGCGGCGCGTTTTGAAATTCGAAGCAGGTCCCTTCTCCAGCGGCAGCCGCGCGAAGCTCATCGCTTCGCGGTATTGTTATTGTCGTCGACCTTTTTCCTCCACCTCCGCGTTATGATGTAATTCGCCACACGCGCCGCGCCGCGCCAAGCCGAGCCAGCCTTCCGAACGGTGAACGACGTACGCATCCATTGCGCGCGCCTCGTCGCCTTGAGCTTAAGACACCTATAGGAGAGAGACCACACGCGTGTCCACGGCGTGTAAGTTCACGAGTGCGAGCTCTCCTCTCGCGCTCCTAACGAGCGCGCACACTTCGCGTCAGTGGCGTAGAAGAGCTCGGCCGTTGCCTCGTCGCGGCGCAGGCAGCATCGTGCCGGCCGCGGACGTGCGCATTGTCGTAATGAAGTTTCATTGAATCGTCGGGCACGATCGCGATGTTCGCAGCGAGTCGCGCGAGAGCGGGGCCCGTTTTCGGCTCTCTTGTCTGACACAGTCGATCACAGTCGTGTTAGCCGCGATGAATTCGGAGGAACTCGTCGAGCGCGCGCGCGCGCGCGCGAGTCGGCATTCGCGGCGTGTAAAACACAGCCGGGTCGTTGTTTATAACTCGTTGCAATAACTCGCGCTCGTCCGACCGCGTCCGTTCTTACGATCGTTCGCTCAAATGGTCTCATCTCTTTCTCTCTTTTTTTTTCCTCCGCTCATCTCATTGTGGCCGCCGCGCCGCGCCGGCCGCCTCGAATCTCCGCGGCGGATATGACGGCGGTATTTCTACGACGCCGCTCGCCGGCCAACGACGCGTTTTTCATCGGGAAGAGAGCAACGACGGTCGTCTCGTCGCTCATAAGCGTAATGAGTCCGCGTTACTAATGATCGTACGTTTGTACGTCGCGTCGAAGGGCCGGATGCCGGCGCGCGCGCGCGCGCGGTCTGGCTGATCAATCGACGATACTCGCGACGACCTTGGCAATTACCACGCAATCGCGCAGCGCGTTTACGGGCCCCGCGTCGGGCCCCATTTTTCCAGCCCGCGCGAAATGTCATTCGCGAGCGCGCTCGTTAATTTCGCGGCGGCTTTGAGCGCAGCGATCGCATGGCGACGTGAAAGGAACGGAGGAAACGTCGCGAGCGGCTCGCGTAGTAAGTATCCCCCCGATATCATCCCCGTGAACGGGCTCTGAAACGTCATCGTAAGCGCGCGCGCGCACCCCTCCGGCGGCTCAGCCGTCCGCATTGAAATCCTCTGAAGGATTCGTGGCGGGCCAATTTGTATTATCAACGAGTTTCGTCCCGCGGTCGATATTCATTAAAACCGAGCGGCGAAGAAGCCACAAGCCAGGCAACTCAGCAGCATTTCGAGTGCTTTTATCGTCACATTAGGGGACTTCCCTCCTGCGATCTTGATCTTCATTTGAATTATAAGGATCCCACTTAGCTGTCGCTCATTGTTTGTTAAGAAAATTGTTAGTAGAAAAAAATTTTGTAAATAGAACATAGTTTTCCGACATCGTGTACATTTAACCTTTAGAGGACCGGGATGGCTCTCCTATAGGAGCTACATATAAATCTGCATTCAGTATTTTCTTGAAGGTTATATCACAGTTATTTGTGCATTTATGTCGATGTTTATGCGCTCTGAAAATGTATTTGCATATGTGATTTTTACCTTACTTGTAAATAAACATTTATTAACAAGTACACATTTTAACTGCATAGTAATTTGCATCTCAGAACGTTTCTATTTATAACAGACCCACTTTCTCTCAGAATTATATAAAATCAGTTTGAAAAATTATAAAAAAGATGAAAAAATTAAAAAAATTTTTAAATAACAAAAAATATAAAAAAAGAACAAAGGAGCTACATAACTTTCTACATCCACGTCGTTAGCTCTGGGTTATGCTGAAGGAAAGTTTTATTACCGTATGAGATTACTTATAATAATACAGACTTATTTTAGGCAAATAATTGCCTTTCTTTGTAAAATTTCGATAATCTGATATCAAAATGATGATCAGCGATATAAAAAAACCCCCTAAAAATGCCAAGATCCAAGTTTTGAAAATTTTTTATTTTGGCCGTTCCGTCCCGGACCGGGATGGCTCCTATAGGAGCTATTAACAAACTCGAAAACTCTACGCGACATGATAGTTACATATATATATATATATATATAAATTTTCCGCGAAAAAATTGTAAATTTGAAAGGAAAAATGCCGATCCTCTAAAGGTTAAGAAGGAAACACACTACAGCACACACCATATATAAATAGCCTATTAGGTAACCTCCAAAAGGTTTCAGCCATTAATCGCTGTTTCGCGAATGATTAACTGCTCGGCGTACATAATCCTCGGGTTTTAATTACCGGGTTAAGTTAGGTCAAGTTTCGCAACACTGAAGTATCCACACAGCTTAGCCTAACCCAATCTAACCATCTATATGGTGTCAGAAATGTACGTTCTATTTATAAAATTTCTCTCTCGTTGATAACTTTTTAACAAACAATGAGCGACGGTTGAGACCTCCTGAAGTTTTACCCAGGAAAGTGGCCCTTGTAACATAAGTCAAAGTCAAGGTCACAGGAAGTGGATCCTCAAGGTACCGCATATCGCGCGTAACACAACGCGGCCGCGACGTCGCGCGCCCCCGTTTAGCTTTCAGGCATTTCTCGCAGCTCGCGGGAGAAAGCCCGCTCGGAAGTTGCGCCGTCGGACGACATCCGTGCGCGCGAGCGGATCCGGGGATTACACTCCCTGGATGTTAGTCGGCGGTTACTCCGAGATAACGACGGGAGTTAATCCTCCCTTTCCGGCGAAGCGCGACGTAACAATGCGGAACGACCGCGCCCGGCCGGCGCTTTTACCGGAGGAAGTCGTGGCACTCACCGCGGCCTCTCCCGACCGCGCTTCCTCTCTCCTCCGAGGAGTCGGCTGCTCCTCGTGTCTGACGCGCATCCATCCTCCTCCGCGACGTCGACGGCGTCTCCTCAACTCGGGCGGAGGCGCGTGCTGGAGACTCGTGTGCGAGTGCGTTCGGCACTCCACACGCGCGACGACGACGAGTGACACGGGAGTACCCTCGGAGATGCGAGACGCAGGTGAGGCGAGGAGGTCTCCTCTCGCCCGCCCTGCCCGCCCTGCCCGGTGACTGAACCCGCGCGCGGTGCTCATGTAAGGAGTACGCACGCACGCACGCACGCACGCATTCTCGTGTATGTACAACCCGATCCGCCGGAACACGTCAGACCGAAGAACCGTTCGGAGAAGCGAGGATCTCTCGTCGGCCGAGATATCGACGCACTTTTCGGATTCAAGAGAGGCATGAGTGCGCTCGGGCTCGTGCATGGGTGGAGAGAGAATCGTGGAAGCCGCTCATTAATCTGTGTTATTTTGTGTCGCTATCGCGCCATCGACCCGTAGGCCGTGAGAAGGACGATCATTACCGCGAGAGAGCTGGACGACGTTCACTAGAGAGAGAGAGAGAGAGAGGGGCGGGAGGAGGGAAAGATTACGCGACGTTAACAGAGATATTAAAATTCCCGATGCCACGGGCGGCTTGTTATCGCAAACGACGTATCTCGAGCGAGTTTCGTGTGATCTTTGGATATCGAGCTCAACTTGAGCGTTCAACCCTCAAGTCATGCGCGTACTCCCCCGTCCAGCCAATTAAGATAAACGGGGAAAGAGCGAGGCATTTTCTTCTAACGCAATTTTTGCAACGTAATTTTTTCTCTTAAGCACAATGTACGAAGAAATCTTGCCGGTGCGCAAGCGCCGCATCGAGATTTACAGAGGAGTGTCTCCTGTCCACGCGTGAAAAAAATATCATAATAACCGATGCACATAATCGCTATCAGCTGGAGCCGCGGCTTAGCGTATCTCGAAGGTGTTGTTTAAGTACCAGGAAGTACGTAGAAGCGAGAGAGAGAGAGAGAGAGAGAGAGAGAGAGGGAGATAGCGACAGAGTGGAAGAGGAGGGGGGTCTCTCCACATACGTGGAAGTGTGCTCTCCGCTCCAGACTGTCATAAACCTTCCGAGAAGGAGCACCTTGGTCACGAATGTCGTACTTAGGAGAAGTGACATGCTCGCGACAACCTAATCGCCGCGTTTGCGTTTGCGGAACGTTCGCGCGAAGCTGTCACGTGGAGAAATCAAATGCAGCTGGTTTGCCCGCTTCTCCTCTCTCCCTGATAAAAAGAGTACTAATAAGCTCACGTACCTTGTCCTCGCACGTCTTGTGGCAGATGTATTTGCAAACTGAAACAAAAGAGAAACCGATTGTACACAACCGTGCTCCTCCCTCACTCCGATGAGTGTATTTCGCGCAGATTTGCAAAGCGGACGGATTTGAACGGTCGGGCAAAGAGTTCGAAGAGGAACGCTCGGTTCGGCCCGTCACCGCGCGTTCCGTTGCGATCCGTTATCGCGAGCATTACGATCAGCTCTTTGTGTCACGGCGATGTACAATCGCGCTAATTGGCCTCCGAGCGCGGGCCCGATCTGACTTTCACGCTTTCGCGTTCGCGGTCACGTTGTGTCCGGTCGGTCCGCGCGTCTCAGCGTTAATCTCGAGCGATTGTCTCGTGTAATCTCGGACGCGGCAATGAGACTCAATGGCAGTGATGAAGTTAATAATAATAATAATAATAATAATAATAATAATAGCAACAACAACAACGGGGCGGATGGAAAAATGTCGGACGAAACGCTCCGAGCCCCGCAGCGGATGAGGGTTCTAACTGGCATTTTCCCGCCAAGTAGGAGCTTCCGTATCAGCTATTGATTTCAGAGCACTACCGACCCCGTCGCTGCTACACCAGCTGTTACTGCCTTAGGGAATGATGTTATCGACTCACCTCTGCAGCAGGAGGCTTGCTTGATGACCGCCTGATGGCACAGATGACATGGTCTGGGCTTGCGCAGTTGCTTGGTGCGGAACACGTGACACTGTGGTTCAAAGTCGCTCTGGAACAGAACAATGCACAGACGCGTTATGGGGATTATCGTTTTTTCGGCCATACAGGAAGGAAGCGTCGTCGGTTCGCCGCCATCTCGGCGCTTTTTTGCGGCTCGTGTTTTCTCGTCGATCAATCAGCCGCGGGAATCTCTCGAGCGATTAACCTCGTTAAAACGCTGCATTATAAAAGAACGGTCTGTTCCGTCCGGTGGTACGTGAATATATCCAGTGAAACGAGGCCGATGGATGGAACGACAACGAGATGACGCAACATGTGCCCCGCCGATGGATATTATAACACGACGAGGTACATATTATTCACTACATGAACATGTAACAAACATTATAAGACAACTGATCGGAAAGACCGAGAATGATGGTGTCTGCCTCATCGTTGAATGTATAGTGTATATATCGTTGAATATTGTATCAAGCGACCACGTGTTCGAGTATTTTGTATTAGTGTACTTAAATACTATGTGACATTTAATTACTGTGACATTTATTGAGCGAATATAAACTGAGATCCAGAAATATGAAAATATCCTGAAAGTATTTCAGAGCATCATGAACGTATTCGGGATAATCTTGGAATATTTTCAGGATATTCAGTTGCGTTATTGTAAGTATTTTTGTTGACATGAGAACTTTGTGTATTGTCCCGAATGCTTTCTTTCCTTATGTTTATAATTTAAACGGGAAAGACAGAAAGCACAACACATTTCGGAATCAGCAAATTCGAAAGGTTTCATTTCTATTGTTTCTCCTAGAAGCAAGTCACAGCACAATCTTCTTTTAGAAAGTTGCTGTGCTCTCTAGATTCTTATGCTATTTGAGACTAGCGGATATGCAATGGTCGTTTATATCGGAGATTTATATTTTCCTACACTACTTAACGTGACGTGAGTACATCACACAATTTGAATTTTAAATAAGTTCTTTGTATTTTCTATTATAAAGAAATTAAAAGAGAGCTCTTAAAAGACGTTAATTCAAATATGCAAAAACTACTTGTCGGACGCAATTTTGCTAAAGGAAAAAGTTGTATGTTTTAGCATAAAGTATCATGCCCTCCGTACTCCGAATGCGGGAATTTCGGATCACCCAAACATAATTCAAAAAGATTCAAAAATTTTTTATTGCTAAAAATGAAATTTAACTATTAATATATACAATTTGCCACTTTCAATTTAAAATCGAGCCACGTGCTTTATTTCCTTATATTCACAGCTCAAACAGGACAGACACGGAATATCTATATATCCATCCTGGATGTCCTTAAGATTTCGAAAGAATATCTTCGTGCTATTGTTCGCGGGCGAACATATGTATTTGTAAAAAAAAGAGCAAATAATATGTAATACTAAAATTATGATAATGTGTTATTATTGTTTTAATGATGATTAAATTATAACTTAATTATCAAATTTAATTATTAAATTTAATAATTAAATTATTTTTTTATTAATATGTGAAGGATTCTAAGGAAAAGGAGGATAAGTGGAAGGAGGAAGTGGAAGTCAGAAGAAACAAAAACGATGGCGAGAGAAAGAAAGGGGAAAAAACGGACGAAAGAAAGAAAGAATGGAATAGAAAGTGGGGAAGAGAATGTGTGAGAGAGAGAGAGAGAGAGAGAGGGAGGGGAGGGGCAAGGAAAGAGAAAGGGATCTTAATCCGAAAAAAACTTAATAATAATTAAATACACGTTTGACGCAGTGGTGATATATTTTGATTTGCATAATTATATCACACTATACTTTCCTGTTATACGCTCTAAAGGATATTAGACATACAAAACTCGCTAGGCGATCAGCATATCAAGCATATCAAGGAACGATCGTACAATTTAAATAAAAGCTTCTGAATCATAGTCTGAACCGTTGAAACAGGAATGTCATTACTAACGTAACGAAGTTATCGCTGGATGAAACATCAGAATGCAGCGCTCGTTCGCAATATTGCCGGTTCGCAATGAGCTCATAGATTAAGAAACCGAGGATCAGCTCCTCTTAATCATTACTCCCATGTTCCTCTCTACCTCCTCTTCCTCTCTCTCTCTTTCTCTCTCTCTCTCTCTCTCTCTCTCTCTCTCTCTCTCTCTCTCTCTCGGCCGTGTGCGCAGGCATCGCGGCAATTATAATTATTCTCATGTGTGGCTTTTCCGCGACCGCAGTGGAAGAGAAGGCTCCGCCGAGCGGAGCATCTTAGAAATTGAGAAACAGAACAGCCATTCATTAGGATCGCGTTTATGCCCGGATACGCTGCCGGCGGAACGTTTGCCTTTTCTATGACTTGGATACGACAGTCAACCTGTTAACAGTACTTAAGCCGGTGCGCAGCGCTGTCGGGAGAGGCAGTTCGCAAAGTTATGCGCAAATAAGCGCCCAGGGCGCTCCGTATCCTCCGCGAAGCGCGGTCTCCGATTACGAACACGCGATGCTCGGCTCTTCATCGAGAAAGGTGGTTATCCCCGTCTCTTCACCCACGTCGATCGAATCCCCGGAGAGGAAAACGTAGATTTGAATACGGGTTGCTGCGGCTGCCACGGCCTCGGCAAATCGCGCTCGGTGAAGCGCGAGCGCGAGCAATGTTGCTTTGGCCGCGGGCCGGTCCACATATTTCAACTGAATCAAATGGAGCCGATAAATGCTGTTTGCCGCGGGAATGAATTCCCGAACGTTGCCGCGCCGCGCCGCGCCGCGCCGCGCTGCGGCCGCCCGAAAAGTCTGTCGAATGAGATCGCACGTCGTCGATCAACAGTTGCAAAACATTGTCGAGCGATGTGCTCCGGCGAACATTTTGAAAACACACACCGCCGTGTGGAAATATTTCGCGGCTATGACATTTTTACGTCCGCCATCCTTCGAAGGTGTAATTACGATCGCATACTCCCGAAGCGAGAGGGCAAAGAAGAATGCGAAAAGTAAGAGATAATTCAAGTTATATGCCATAATATATGAGCACCGCTTCGTTATAGCCCGCGAATGCGCGTGCACGCATGCACGCACGCACGTACGCACGCACGCGTAGACAGGCACATTTTTCCTCCCGCGAATGTTAAGCGGGCTTAATCATCGGATGTGTGAGTGCGCGGCTATAACGTTTTCCAGCGAGCCACGTAATTGAGATGCGAGAAAAAACGCGTGCCGCCGCTGCTCGGAAGAGAGAGAGAGAGAGAGAGAGAGAGAGAGAGAGGGAGAGATCCGCGGCTAAAATTCACACGACATCTCGTGCGCCACGGCGATGCATTAATTTTATTGCATACTGCGCATTATCAGCATCGGCCGGCGACGAACGTGCCGACGTGGATTGCAAAATATCGGGCCATTATTGCGGCGCAATATTTCGTAATTATCAGTTTTATCGGCGCCGCAGGGCACGAGCAATGAATTATTATAATGTTATATGGACCCAGCGCGCGCGGACTCGGAAGAACGGCCCTCCTTGTTGGATATTGGACACGTCGCGGCACTTTCCTCACTCGCTCATCGTAAATGCCGCCACGTGCTTATCCTTTTTATCGAACGATAAAACACGCCGTTCGTCTATTGTGCCGCTTTTTCGTCGGGTCTTCATGGGACTTTGATCTATGGACAGCGCGTTTGCCGAAGTTGTTAGTCCCCGGGCTGGTTTATCGTCGCGTAATGACACGCTGATGTATATTGTCTCTCACGCAGCTCTGTGAAGCTAGCACCCCAAATTCGAATTTTTACAAACCGATTCCCTTGGGTGGACAAACGAACATAATGCATGGACAAACGAAAGCAGCGGGTGGACAAACGATTCCAACCCTCAATGTACAGAAAACTGGACACATGTACATAGAACGGTTATTGTCAAGGTTTTTAATTTCTTTTTGTTAATTACTCGATTCCCTTGGGTGGACAAACGGAAATAATGCATGGACAAACGAAAACAACGGGTGGACAAACGATTACAGTGCTTAATTTTCAGAAAAGCGTTCTTGTAAGCAAATTGCTTTTTCTTATTTTCTTTATTTAACTATATTTTACAAGGTGGGCAAATGGAGATTTTAGTTGGATTAATATGGGCAAATCGTGGACGAACGAATCCCTGCTAATTTTTATATATATTCGTATCTGGGGCGCCTCCTCTTCCGCATACTTTCAATTTTTTAATTTGCTTATAACTTTCTTTTTAAAGGGGAACAAACAAAAATTTTGGTTGGACAAACGTGGGCAAATCGTGGACAATCCTGCGGTGTTTCGAAATTGAAGAAATCTTTTCATGGGGGTGCTGATATCGAAATTTCTTTTGCTCATAACTTTTTTTTGAAAGATGGACGAAGGAAAATTTTTGTTGGACAAACGTGGACAAATCGTGGACAATCCAGTGGTGCTTTGAAATTGAAGAAATATTTTCATGGGGGTGCTGGTGTCAAAATTTTTATTTGCTCATAACTTTTTTTTGAGAGGTGGACAAATAAAAATTTGTGTTGGACAAATGTGGACAAATCGTGGACAAACGAATGCTACTTGTGGTTTGTGAAAATTCGAATTTGGGGGTGCCAGCTTCACAGAGCTCTCTCACGCGCCTCGCCGTCATAAAGGCTGATTTGTACGGCGCGATTGGATCTCACCCAGACTTGCCAACTCAGTTTGTTCGCCCGCCCAGAGATCGGCGCGATGGAGTTTCTCTCAAAAATCGGGGAGAGACGTATGTTGATAGTAACAATAATATATTGCAGCAAAAATTATAAATTGCTTTCGTTTATTATTATTATTATTATTATTATTATTATTATTATTATCATCATCATCATCATTTTCTGACGGAATCGAAATTTCTGCAGTTGTTCCTTTATTTAAAAAATAATGCGCTTCGTTCTGAATTCATGATATATTTGTGAAGACAATGGAAAGCTCCGGGCGAAAAGCGAAGTGGCGACACCCCTGAACTCACATCGCTCTCAATGTGCGAAGCTCCTCGGGCTGAGTTGTTCGGCGGTCTTCTCGAATTTACAACCACCGAATATCGTCGCGTAAAT